GTATTTATTTAATGATGGGGAGCACAGAGGGTTATGTGGATGCCCCCTGAATTCCATGGTACGGTCCTCTCTCCAGCAGCCTCCCTGGCTTCCTAGTCTTCTGTTTAACCATTCAAGACAGGAGAAAGACAGACAGCAGCCTTTCAGAATGAGCATCCGGGGGGCCACACAGTGATGGAAAGACATCACAGAGTGAACACCATCAGGCCTAGCCTCCTCTCCTCCACTTTCTCAACCCAGAAAGAAAAAAAAGAGCTCAAAAACCAAAAAGAAAAGGAAGTTGAAGAATGCCTTTCATCCCCTTGGAGTTAAAGGAATAAAGCAGAGCCCTCTTTCGCAGGGGAAGAGGGAGAACCTTTGAAAAATTGCAGGATAGACTCAGCATTGCTCGTATTGTCATAGATGCTAGGAATGGCCCAGATGCTTCTAGGGAAGATGGTTTCTGAAATGGAAAGGGCCAGTAGAAGGCCTGTTTCCAGTAAGAAGGGTTCCCTCAGAACTGGTTCCTACCATCTTGTCTAGTAAGCTTCTCTATGTGGGGATGGCAGCAAAGAGCAACTCAAGGCCACCAGATCTGGGCTGCCGCAGTTCGAAGACCCACCTGCTGCCGTAACCACTTTGCTGTCCTTTGGAGTGACCCAGTTTTTTTCGCCCCTGATTCTGGAGGTCCCAACATGAATATCCAAACCAGTTTTAGATGGGTTTTAACCAGCGTGTGTGTTTCAAGAAAGTCAAGACAGCAACTGCACAATTGGACCCCTGTCTCTTTTTGCATGTGCTGCCATCTTGACCTTTTTGATCCCTGCTGCAGATGACCCTGGCTTGAACGAATGTCTCTTTCCCTTTTGTCCCAAAGAACCTTGGGAATTGTAGTTTTGTGGAGGCATTGAGGTTTCCCCCCAGATTTCTCCCCATGTTTCCTTCCCATCCTTCAGGCCCATAGTCTTCTCCAACCTGGTCTTCTCTTGACGAGGAATTAGGCAGCAGTTGGGGCCATTAAACTGGGTTTAACCAAACACTGCCCTCCCCCCGAGACACGAGCTCAAACAGAGGCTAAGACTGAGAAATCATAACATGATTTTAAGAAGCCTTTTTTTAATACAATTCATTTTATAAAATGCATATAAAATCCAAAGTATAAAAATATAAAAATTTATGCAAGTGAAGACATCCATACTGTTTCATACAAATAAAACATTGTGAGAGTTAGGACCAAACAAATCATTGCTTGATGCACCTTTCAGTCAAAATTGGAAATCCTGTTGCCTTGGCCCAAATAAATATATTATT